CGAGCAGCACGGTGGCGGCACTGTGGGGGGCAACGCCGACGTCGCAACGATGCTGCGGAAAGGGCAGAGCAAGCGTGGGCACGCATTGGTCGGGTTCCATGCTGCAGCCGCGAGCCCCGCGCCGCCGATGAAGAAGCTGCGGGCCGGCAGTAGCCACGCCGACCCGCCGCTGCGCATTGGGCAAAGCGCGAGCCCAGCAGTTCAGTCAGGCACGCACGCTGCACCCACGACGGCGGCCTCGGGGCGCGCGCGACCGAACGCGCTTGCGCCGCCGCCACGCCGTCCTTTCCCATCGCCGCCGGACCGCCCTCCCTCCTCCGCGACAGACGCCGCAAACACGGCGCTTCTCGCCGCCCAAGCAACAGCAGCAACAGTGGCAGCGAATCTTCGCGTCGCTGGTGCACGCGGTGCGGACTCGCCGCAGTCTGGCGGGCGCTCGTCTCGCCCGGACCAGGCGGCCGAGCAGGCTGTGATCGCGGCCGAGGCGGATGGGCTCGGGCGGGTGCTGCCTGGCGGCGCGCCGGCAAAGGAGCCTGCCGAGGCGGGGGCGATCGGCGAGGCGGCGGTGCTCGTACCTGCAGTATCAGAGTATGATTCCTGTCTGCAGGTCTATTCACACCTCACGCGATCTTCCATGTCCAGACAGCGTCCAGACAGCGTCCAGACAGCGTCCAGACAGCGTCCAGACAGCGTCCAGACAGCAAAATCGGAGCGTCTAGACAGCTATTCAGACAGTAATAGCACTTGAGTGTACACAGCTGATTGAAGTAAAGGGGAATGATGCAGCTGCCTGCCAGAGCAGACAGATTCCTTAATTCTCTCCACTACAAAAAAAGTCCAGTGCGGAACCGAGATCATGGCCCCGAATGCCGTGCTCTCTAGGCAAGGTGCGGGAGCTCCACAAACCAGGTTCACTTAAATTTTCCGGCTAAAATTCTTTCCGTCGCCGTGTAAAATTCTTTTCCTCACGATGTCCACCCCGCCGCGGCGCCGCTCGCGCCGCCTCGCCGCCGCCACCACCGCCGCCCCCTCGCCAGACGCGCCGCCGCCCGTCCGCCTCCTCGATCTCCCCACGGAGATCCTCGTGCGCGCCCTCTCTCGCTGCTACAGCCCCGCCGACATCGCTCGCGTCGCGGCCGTCTCGCTTCTCTTCCACGCCTCGCTCGCGGTGGAGGCCATCCGCTTGTGGGCGCGAGAGCGCGGCTTC